ATTGAACATTTTTTCATATATCTGTTGATCGAATGCATATCTTCTTCTAACAAGTATCTGTTCAGCTCCTTAGTCCACTTATTGACTGGGTTCTTTGTTTTATGTTAAGTTTTTTGAGTTCTTTATATATCCTGGAGATTAGTGCTCTATCTGATGTGCATGTGGCAAAAATTTGCTCCCCAAATGTAGGTTCTCTATTCACCTCATTGGTTGTTTCTTTTGCTGAGAGGAAGCTTTATAGTTTGAATCCATCCCATTTATTGATTCTTGATTTTATTTCTTGCACTTTTGGCTGGCCTTGAATTTAACAATCTTCTTGCCTCAACCTCTGGGGTCACTGGGATTACAGATGTGCATCACAGCACCCAGCCTGTCCTAGACTTTGCATCAAGAGAAAGTGACACAAAAATCATGGATAGTGGAGACTTCTTCAGGGATAATAGAATTTTAGGCAACACAGTTTCCAGGCACAGCATCAGCAGCTGTGCCACAGAGGAATCTTGTGTCTAGGATCACTATGTGGGTAGAAAATCTGATGACAGTGGATCTATGACAAGCTGTTCTGTGCAGTGATTTTGTGTATTTGCTTTTGGTGGCTTCTGCCTCTCTTACAAACTTGGTTCTTTCTCTTTCCTATTGATTCTAAGACATACTCAAAATTCCTTCAGTAAATAATTTTCTACTTAACTCATGCACAGTTTGCTCCTTTTAGCTTCACTTATGAACCATAACTTATAAAACCATAAAACTTCAATACTTTTCATTTGTTAAGGATTTAACTTACTGATATATGTTATGCAACATGCTGTGCTGGAAACTAGGAAGGTAGAGATGCCTGACAGAGTCTCCGTTATGTAGGTACTTTGAGTCTAGCTGGAGAACAGCAAATACATAAATCATTTTTTAAAATAATCAGATGAGGCAAGTTATAATAGGCATCATATGTTAAGGGCTATGGAATTTGCGTAAGAGATTAGTTAATTCTGCTTAAGGAGAGCTGCATTGTGAACATGCAGAGAAGAATTGATATCTGTGGGGAATCCTGAGGATAAATATAATTTGATCAATCTCACAAGAGCAGGCATTCCTAGGACAGTGGTGTTAGGTCTGAGTGTTTGTTAAAATTCATATGTTGAAATCCTAATCCCCAAAATGGGGATATATGGAGGCTGGCAGAGCCTTGGGAAGTGATTAGAGCATAAGAGCAAAGGTCCCAGGTTTGGGATTATAAAGGAGACCCCAGAGAACTAGCCAGTCTCTCCCTTCCACCAGGTGAGATTAACAATGAAAAGATGACTGTCTATTGGATCACGAAGTAGGCCCTCATCAGCACTGAATCTGCTGGCTACTTGATCTTGAACTTCCTAGCCCCCAGAACTGTAAGAAATCAATTTCTATTATTTATAAACCATCCAGTCCAAGGCAATTTTGTTATAGCAGCCTGACTGGACTGAGACAAGAGGGTTGTAAGAGTGAATGAATGGAGACTTAAGTTTGTGATGTGTTTGTATCCAACAAATACAGTATCACAGTCATGGAGCAGGTGCCAGAATTAAGGTTAAAGTGATAATGTGAGATCTGATCATGAAGGTCTGATTATGAAGTCTCATGTGTACCCTGCTAAAATGTTCTTTTATTCACTAATTGCCATCATGGCTTTAAATTTTTTTTTATTTGTATATGACAGTGGAATGCATTATAATTCTTTTTTATGTAAATTTTTTATTTATATATGACAGCAGAATGCATTACAATTCTTATTATACATATAGAGCACAATTTTTCATATCTCTGGTTATATACAGCCATCATGGATTTTAAAGCCAAAAAAAAAAGCACTAAATCTGTGTTTTAGAAAAATAATGCTGCTGTCAGTGTGAAGACATTAAAAACCATGTCAAGACCAACACAGAGCACATTTGAAACTTCACCTGCAAAAGTTTTTTTTTTTTTTCTCTTTTGCCTACATTTCAAGGAGAGGTGTATACAACTCAAAATTGGAACCAAGGAAGCAGTAATAGAATCTTGTTTCTAACTGCCAAGTGAACGAGTAACTAGCTATGTGATCTGAGGTTAGTCATATGACCTTGGAAAGATTCCTTAGCCTTAGATTACTCATCAGTAACAGAGTACTAATTACATGATAACATGGGAATGATTGTAGGGTAATTGTGAAGATAATAATAGTGTATGAAAAGAGTCTAGCAGAGTCTGATACTCAATAAATGCAGATGCTAAGTAATGGGAGCTATTATTATTAATGTAATGAAAAATGCAGAAGGCTGAAAATTCTGATTCACTAAATGTGGATTTAATAAATGTCCTTTTGATGAAACCACAGTGGTCAATGTAATGTGACTTCCACTTATCTTGGAAGCCAAAAAGCAAGTAAGCTTAAATAAGCACTCACATGAGGGTGGGAAACCGGATGGGACCTCCCTCCATTCAACTATCATTAAGAAAAAAAATGCTAATTTATCTCAGCTTGCCGTAGCTTGGCAAACATCCTTTACTCTTTTATATGCACAGATTTGTTTTCCCATTATTTGGGTCAGAGCCTTTCTTTTAATTCTGTTAGTGTTCTAGTATACTGTGGAACTCAATATACAAAATTATCTTAAATATTTTTGCTAAAAGAAAAACTTCATTCAAAAATATATGTAAGTGATAAAACACTTGAGTACTTACTTTGATTTTAATATTGATTTTTTAGCGCTTACACTATAACTTATAGTTAGCGTCACAAAATTATGTGATACCAGCTAAAAGTTGCAAAGTGTTATCCTGAATGAATGAAAGCACTCTAATTTGTTTAGTCCCCCATAGATAACACTTTGGTTGTCTGCCTCCCTAACTTTCTCCCCACTTCTCTCTCTTCCCTCCCTGTGTACTTCTATTTTGTTTCTTTCTAATACAAAACATGATGTGGTGAATATCTTTGATCGCACACTTTGGGAAATTTTTGTATTACCTCTATAGTAGATACCTAACAGTAAGAGTGCCACATAATGATGACATTCAGTCAGCTCTGTGGAGAGGCCCACAGAGCTAACTTATATCAACATGTAGCATTGAGTTGCCAGCTATATGAGTGAGCCATCTTGAAGCAGATCCTCCAACCCCCACTTTTAGATGATGCAGTCCTAGTTGATACTGGACTGCAACTTCATGAGATACCTTGAGCCTAAATCACCTAATAACCTTGTCAACTCATGCTGTAGTTCCTGATCAATAAACTGCAACGAATATTCTTTTAAAACACAAGTTTAAGGGTAATTTTTTCTTTTCTTTTCGTTTTGATACTGGGTATTAAAACCAAGGGTGTTTTACCCTGAGCCAGATCTCCAGTCCTTTCTATTTTTTGGAAGTACTGGGGGCTGAACTAAGGGGCACTCAACCACTGAGCCTCATCCCCAGTCCTATTTTGTATTTTTATTTATAGACAGGGTTTCACTGAGTTGCTTAGCATCTCCCCATTGCTGAGGCTGGCTTTGAACTCGTGATACTCCTATCTCAGCCACCTTAGCCACTGGGATTACAGGTGTGTGCCATTGTGCCCAGCTATGTTTTATTTTGCAACAGTTTCATGCTAAATTGCTGAGGCTGGCCTAGAATTTGCGATGCTCCTGTCTCTGTCTCTGGAGGAGCTGGGATTACAGGTGTGTGACACTGTGTTCAGTTTGGGTAATTTGGCAAAAGTAGTATTAGGGAGCTAATATCTTTAAGGCTTAGAATAGTGGTTCTCAAGCCAGGGCAAATTTGGCCCTCAGGGACATTTAGCAATTTATGAAAACATTTTTGATGGTTCTAACTGGGGATGGTACTACTGGCATTTAGTGGGTAGGGGCCTGGAATGCAGCTAAACATCCTATGATAAACAGAATACATCATGATCTCTTGTAAGCTTTTCTCAATAAGTCAGAGGTCTCTCATGCAATCTCCAGGTACCTTTTTGTGTCTCTCCAGAATCTACTCCACTGCCCTGGCACAACTGGGCTATGCATGTGACAATTGGTGAGCACTGCAGGAAGTCAAAGAAAATGCTGAGCACAGAGACTATGGCAGTTGGAAAGGGGAAATGTGGTGTGTGAGGCCGGGGTGGGGGGGCGTGGCAACTATTATGGATGCTTGGGGACCATCTTTTGAATATGGCGATTGATGCACCAAACACCCCCAAAAGTATGGAAAATACTGTTGCTAGTGAGCAAGCATGTATAGCCTAAAGAGTTATGCAAGATAGCAACAGTGTGGGATGAGCAGCAGCTCACTACAGAAGCAGATCTGCAAGCCCAAGTCCGTGTTAAGCAGTTGCAGGAGGAATTAAAGTTGGAGCGTGAAGTGACTTTAACTCAAGCACGGACTACAGAGGCCTGGGACAAGCTGATGGAGGAGCCAGAGGCAGGAGCCAGAACAGTTATAACCCCAAAGGTAGAGACGGATAGACCTTGGCCGGTGATGCTCCTTTCCATCCAGCACACACAAATTCTCCACGAGAAATCATAGTGCTGCTGAGTTGGCAGAACAACTTTAGACACAAAGCCAGAGAGAACATAGCAGGATGACTGACGTGTCTCTCACACATAACGTATTTTCTACAGTCTATCAGAATCATATACTCTGTATTCAGTAAATACTCTTCCGAAAGACGAAATTTGGATAAAGTGAACTTAAGAAGAATTGTTTCAGTGAACGCGTATGCCAGGCACAGGATTCAGTACAATTTTGCGTTTAACTGGCTCAGAATTTCTTAGATTCAGGAATCACGAAGCCCCTTTTAATACCTCGAATTTCTTCCTCTCACTGGAGCTACTTCTCCCCTTGCTCTCTCCCCAGGAGCCGCAGCCGGTCAGCCTGGATGAGCCCGCCACCTCTCCCCTAGCTCTCTCCCCAGGAGCCGCAGCCGGTCTGGACGAGCCCGCTCTCATCAGGACGCATGCGCAGACCGATATGCACATGCGCAGTTCTCGCTCTGCCCGCCTGTTACCCAGTTAGGGCTGAGCTGGCAGCACCGCCCCTGGGGGCGGGTCGTGGGTCGTGGCTCGCGAGTCGCTATGGCAGAGGGCGGCGGGGAAGTGGTCGTTGTGCCGGCCTCCGGGGCCACCAACGGCTTCAGCAATGGGGCAGGCGGGACGTCGGCGCAGACCAGCAACCCTCTGTCGCGCAAGCTGCATAAGATCCTGGAGACGCGGCTGGACAACGACAAGGTAACCCGGGCGAGCAGGGCCGCAGGTCCTAGAACCCCTCTTCTCCCGGGGTTGGAGCCGCACAGGGGGCGTTGTCGGTCCGCACACTCTGACCTCTACGCGGTGCCGGCTGCGCTGGGAGCCGCGAGTGACCCGAGACCCCCCCGGCGCGCGGCTCTGCCAGCTCGGGGCAGGTGAGAAGACAATCCCGAGAAGACCCTGGAAGGGAAAGGGGCTTCCAGTTGTGGCCTCTCGGAAGGCGCCTCCCCTCACCCCCAGGTGTGAAGGTGTCTGAGATGGATGAGAAACCCCTGCCCGAGACAAAATTCTTGGACTGCTTGGTAGGGCGTCGCGATTGGGCGTTAGTAGGGCCGAACAGTGTGAGCAGGGAGCATTTTCACTACCGGGTGAGAACAGCAACAGTTTGCAGCGCCAAAGATCTGCTTTCTACCCAAGGCGTGCATGAACTCATCTACTAATTTTTGTTGTTGTAAGCTAAGTGCTGCTTATGACTTGTGGACTTATCCACTATTTATTTTTTTTAAAGATAAGCAACCTACCAAGTTGCTTCTGAAACTAGGGTTGGACTTTCCAGCTCCTGTCATAGCTAAATATCATTTCTATATCACGCAGTCGCCTGAAGAATGCCAAAGGGCGGGGGGAGCTAGTAAAAGTGAGAGCTTTATAGGTAAATATGTAGGTAATTGGAAAACAAAAGGTCAGTAAGAATTTGTAACATGACAGTGTCATGAGTTGGAAAAGAAGGGTTCTAAGGCCATCAGTAATTGTTAGCGGTAACCACCACATTTGTGCATGGTGATTTGAGCAAGTTCCTTAACTTCTCTAAGCTTCTGTTTGGGAACTGGGAATACTGCTAGTGACTTTCTCAGGGTTGTTGTGAGGATTCTAGAGAATATCGGTGAAGTCCTAAGCACAGTGCCCAGCACTTGCTGTTTCTTAACAAATGTTTATTTTATCATAAATTGGCATTGCTTAATGTGTCTAACATTGTTATTTACTGTTTCATGCAATACAACTACTCTAATGTTGATAACATTCTCTCCTTTTTACCCAGGAGAAAAAATAAGGAATGGAGGGAGTGCAACTAGGTTAAGTCATGTAACAAATAACTTTAGGATTCTGTCCATTCAGCCAGGCCCTAGAATATTTTAAGGCAGTCTTTGTGTGTGTGTGTGCGTGTGTGTTTACAATAAGCATTTGTAGTTGTAAACATTTTTACTAATATTAAATTGCATTTAAATACTTTATTTTTGTCAATCCAGACAATATTTTAAATTAATGTTAGGTGCAGGACAGGCTGAACGAATGATAGCTGCAGGATAATGTTAGCCCCTAGTGTGGTGGTCACTTTCCTTTCAAATAACATAACTGAAAGCTGGAAGGGTAAGCCTCTTAGAATATACAGTAGTTCAAGTGTAGGCATTTTTATCTGTAGAATGCCAGGTTCTATGAGAATATCCTGAACAGAATTCTGCTCTCTCCTCCAACCATATTCTCTCTGTAGGTAATAGATCTCCTTTAATTTTATAAATAGCATTACATATGATGACTCTCTAATCTGTAACCCTGTTACTGACACCTGTACCCAGTTTCAGATTTTGTAGAAATAGTTGTCAATTATTATGCCTTCAATTGAACACCTGATTGACATTATAAAAACTTAACAAGGACAAAATTCTTGATTTTCCCCCAGACCAATTCTGCTCTCACTGCTAAAAAGAACATCACCATTCATCCATTCAGGCAAGAAGCATATAAATAATTTTTGGTTTTAGTTCTTTTTTTCACCTGTGCCATGCAACCCATAAATGAAACTCTTTTATAGACTGTACATTTAAAATTTTTGGGGGGCGGTGAATATTTCTTTTTCATCTGCGCTGCTACCGTCTTGGTGAAAGACATCATCAAGTCTTGCTTAGATTATTTTAGTTTTATTTGTTTGCTTTCTTACCTTCCTGTACCATCCATTCTTAAAAAGTTGGAATAAACTTTTTAATATATATATATTTTTAGTTGTAGTTGGACACAATACCTTTATTTTATTTACTTAATTGTATGTGGTGCTGAGGATTGAACGCTAGGCGAGCTTTCTATTGCTGAGCCAGAACCCCAGCCCCTGGAATAAAGTTTAGCTGTATATAACATATTGTGTTACTCTCCTGCTTAAAACCTGTAATAGTTTTCGGGAGCTTTATACCTTGCAGTTTCACTTACTATATCTCAGCTCATACCAAGTACATAAAGGATTTCTTCATTTTGAAAAATTAATATGTCATCACTTATTTAGCCAATTTTTTTAGGTGGACATTTCAGTTATTTCCAATTTTTGTAATTCCACACAATTTTGCAGTGAATAACCTTGTATTTAGGCCATTGTGTGTAAGCTAAGTATATACCTATTATATTCCAGAAATAAATTTACTCTTCAGTAGTTTGAAGGTCATCCAGTAGTTTGAAGGTCATCCAGTAGTTTTTGGATTGTTGAATGGAAACAAATTCATCAAAAGTGATTTCAGTACATTTTATCTTGAGATTAGGAAACCACCTAAAAATTACTCTCAATAATTTTCTTGTATTATAAATTGAAACAGGAGATGTTGGAAGCTCTCAAGGCACTTTCAACATTTTTTGTTGAAAATAGTTTGCGGACTCGAAGAAATTTACGTGGAGATATTGAACGCAGAAGTTTAGCCATCAATGAAGAATTTGTAAGCATTTTCAAAGAAGTGAAGGAGGTATGTGAATTCTTTTTGTTTAGCACTCCTTGAGAACTTACTGAGTATTGTTTGGATGAGTATTATTTTGAATTAAGTTGGTTTGTTTGCTGTTAATGTACCATGTTCAAATAGAAAATGACTTGCTGTACTCCAGCTGTATGTTTAGCCTTTATTTGAAATAGGGTGATTTCTGAATCTAAACTCTGCTAATGCTTGTTCTTAGAAAGTGTAACATTTGTTCTAGGAAATTCTCTTAGGAATTTTAGTGTTTTAACAAAAAATAATATTTCTCTAAATAGTTTTCCAATAGAAAAATCTCCTCATTGAATAACTTTCCTGTGGATAACTACTTTTTCATGGGAGAGTAATTAGTATTGAATCACTTTTACTTCATCCTAAATTATGCAAGTTTCAGGGATCAATTATTTCAATGTGTAAATAAGGTTTCATCAAACTTGAGTGCTGTTTATTCCCCATGAAAATAAGTTTTATTTATTTTTTTAATTCTATAGTATTTTATTATGTTAATATATAATATTGTTAATACGATATTGACATTTCTTTGTGAATGACATGGAAGTGTTATACATGGTTACAATAAATATTTTAACAGTTTCATAGGATTTTATTGACTGCAATAAATATTTTAGCAGTTTCATAGGATTTTATTGACTGAAGGTAAGCTTAACAATGAAAAGATGACCGTCTGTTGGATCCTAGAAGGGCAAAAGAAAAGTTTGGTAGAATTCATAAAAAAAGGAAGAGATAGTAGTGATAAACACATCCAAATTATGGTCTCTAAACTTGATTTTATCATTGCCAGAAGGTAAGGAAACTGTCTAGGAAGACTACTGGGTAAGTGTCGAATTGACTCTGGAGGTAAGCTTCTTAAAGAGGCTTCTACTGACCAAAGATAAGTCAGTTTGAGCATCAGTAATTATTGTAACTGCATTGAACTGAAACACATCAAACATGAAATCTATGAGTTTATAATGATATTAAAAATCAAACTGAATCTTCATTGGTTATCTTCAGTAGATATAAGGAAACTAGCATACTTTGAAAATTGCTAACTAAGACGAAAGGCTCAAGCATTTATTTTGTCTTTTTTACCAATTGCATCATGCAGTTGTTAAGGGGAGCCTTGTTTCTATAGAAGTGCTTTAGCTCATAAATAAAGAAGGAATGATGAACAATTAGAAGGCAATTGTGCAACCACTTTAAAATTTTTTTAGTAGTAGATAGACACAATATCTTTATTTTATGCGGTGCTAAGGATCAAACCCAGTGCCTCACACATGCTAGGCAAGTGCTCCACCCAGTCTTGCAACTACTATTGAATTTATAAATCTAGATATTTAGCCTTGGCACTGTTTACATATGGGGCCAGACAGTTAGGGACTGTCTCTGAGCTAAAAGATTTGTGGTAGCATCTTTGGCCTCTCCCCCTTGATTTGTTCCCCAGGGGTCACTGGCAATGTCTGGAGATATTCTTTGTTGGAACAACTAGGGGTAAGATGGTCCTACTGGTATCAAGGCTATATCTCAGTGGTAGAACATTCTTGGGTTCAATTCCCAGCACCACAAACTAAAACAAAACAAAACAAAACAAAAGTCCATGAACAAACAAAAATTATGCATATTTTTTAGACATTTATGTTTTCTCTATACTCTCTGAGAGAATAGATTAACTTCTTTATACCTTTTTAGAACTAGGTATTTGTCTTTTTAAGCATTTCTAGTTTAAATGTGGAAATCTCTTATTATGCCTTGACAAAATGTGTGTGTGAGTGTGTATGTGTATGAATGACTAAGGATTTGGCCAAGAGAGGAGACATTTATTTAATAGTATATATAATATTTGATGCAAATTTTCTCCTTTTCAGGAACTTGAAAGCATAAATGAGGACATTCAAGCAATGAGCAGCTGTTGTCAAGATATGACAAGCCGCCTACAGGTGCTGTAGAATGGCTAGATTTTAAGCATAGTTCCTGGTGCAAAGTAAGCTTTCAAAATTATTAGATAGGTCTGCAGAATATATGGATATCTGATGCATTATGCTGTAAAGGAAGTTTGAATATAAATATTACACTTTTTAAAAATACTTATAAATGTTTGAGTTTCTCTGGGTGCTGGTTTATTAATATTATCCAGTTAATTCTAGAAACCTTTATATTTGGTCTTGTCAGTACAGAGCTAACTGTATCCACTTGAAATGTTTAAATTGCTTTCTACTTCTAGGAAACAACCCCTATAATCAAGATGTAAAGCATTTTCATCACTTGCAGAAGATTTTCTCCATAGCTTTTTAATTTTTTTAGATAGTTGATCACCTGCTACTGTTCACATTCAATTTTGGTGCATGAGTCATTTCTTAGCTCAGCAGGCCATTAGAGCCATGATTTTGAGTTTTGTTCATTCTCCCCAGTTTTTCATAAAGTTAATTTATTTGGTTGTAATGTTATTGAAGTCTTAATAGCTCCCATTCATCAACTATAATGTTTTTAATTTATCCATTTATAAAGAGAAGTATTTCTTAAAGTGTTCTATCTCTTCTTTTTTTCATAGTGGTTATTATAAGGGTTAATTTAATTACTTACTAATTGTTAAAATACTTTAAACATGGAGCATTTAAAAAATGACTATTATTATGAGATAACATTTAAGAATTTAATCAGTATGCTGGGCAGAGTGGCACATGCCTGTAATTCTAGTGGGTTGGGTGGCTCAGGCAGGAGGATCACAAGTTTAAGGCCAGCCTCAGCAATTCAACGAGACCCCAAGCAACTTGGTAAGACCCTGTCTAGGGATGTGGTTCAGTGGTTGATGCCTGGGTTCAATCCCTAGTATTAAAAAAAAAAAAAATTAATCAGTAATTTTTTGTGTGCTATGTTTTACTCCTTTGGGTGTGGTTTTTCTTTCATAAATTACATTTATATCATGTTTATTACTTAATAATAACCATCCTTAACATTTAAGATAAATTAACTAGAAATTATTTTAGGATGATAATCTTCACTTAGTACTATTAATTATTATTTTGGAATTAAGACCACAATTTATAAATAGAGAGTAAGGAAATATAAAAAAAATGGAAAATATTGGTTCTGTTACACTATACTATTATACTAAAATATCCTATTTCATTGATTAATTAGACTTTCTTTTTTTTTTTTTTTTTGGTACTGGGGATTGAACTCAGGCACTCAACCACTGAGCCACATCCCAACACTATTTTGTGTTTTATTTAGAGACAGGGTCTCACTGAGTTGCTTAGCACCTCGCCATTGCTGAAGCTGGCTTTGAACTCTCCATCCTCCTGTCTTAGGCTCCTGAGCCACTGGGATTACAGGCGTGCGCTGCTGTGCCTGTCCAATTAGACATTCTTGATTGTAATGTATGCCACCAATTTAATGACTAGGAATAAAAAGAAGCTAATTAGCAATTTTGATATTGCTTTTGTTAAGCATTCTTTTTTCCAGAAATATTAAAATGTAAACATTTCTGAGAATTAAGTAAGTAGTATATTTGAAAAAAATTGTACAAGACAAGTTATGTATAATGGTGAATGGTAAACTTTAAAGTGAAATGATAAAAATGTAAGCCTTTGAAGAAGTTATTGCATTTAAAGATTCACAATTCAAAAGAGTGTCTAGGAAGCCGTCATGTTCGCCTGTATTCTTTAAAAATCAGTGTTATTCTGAATTATCGAAGTTTAAATTTTTTTTTTATGTAGCCACTGTTTGATAGTAATATGATTTGGTTGTAAGGAACACACATTCAAAATTTCTTCACTAAAGAGTGAGATGTGGGCTCTCTTATTGTCAGGATGCATGGGAAATAATAAGGTAGAGTTTGCAGAAGGAGGACGAGGCCTTAGCAGTTCAGAGCTGGAGTGTCTAGATTTGAGGCAGCTGTAGAAATCTCAGCAACTGGAATACAACATTATAGTATTCTAGCATGAAAATGATCCAATATCTTCAGGTATTTTCTCTGGTATCCACCCTTTTAGCAGATTGACTCACTCTCTGTAGTTTCCACTCTGCATAATTCTGGCTTAGTGTCCCTTCAAGGCATGAACCCTCTGTTTCTCATGTCCTCTTGCCTCTTTTCTTGCTTTTTGTCTTTTTTTTTTTTTTTTTTTTTTTGGTACTGGGATTGAACTCAGGAGCACTGGACCAAAGAGCCAGAGCCACATCCCCATCCCTTTTTTTGTATTTTATTTTGAGACAGACTCTCGCTAAGTTGCTTAGTGCCTTGCTTTTGCGGAGGCTGGCTTTGGACTCATGATCCTCCTGGCCTCAGCCTCCTGAGCCGCTGGGATTACAGGTATGTGCCACCATGTCTGACTGCTTTCTGCCTTATTTTTGTAGCATTCTCCAGTTTGAGACTTTGAGAGAGAGTCTTATTTACTACACGTGTGTTTTGTTTGAATCCATTTCATAAATGTTTGACTGATCTTTGGATAGAATTCCTTTTCATCATTTTTTTCTGATCTTTTCAGTCTGGCTTGGGGGAGGGAGCATTGCTTGGTATGAATTTTGGTCAGGAATTGCCCTTTGTCTTTTAGATGGGGTATCTCTGATCCTTACCAACACTCTGTTTGGTAGGTATCTTACATATTCCAACTCGCAAATTTTTGTCTCCATCTCATGCATTTCTGTTGAGCTCCATACCTACATTTTAGTGACTTAATTTATGGCCCTGTTTAGAGGTCTCTTGGTTTCCTAACCTGGCATATTCATAACTAAAGTTATGTTCTCACCCTTAACTTGCTCTTCAAGTGCTTCTGTTTCACTGAAGAGTTATGAACTGTAAGTTCTTTAGACAGCAACAGATACCTTTTTCTTTTTTGTAAATTTTAGCATTATGTGTATATTGAGACTTATGAGGGAACTCCTCTTATTAAAATTAGTGTATGAGCCTTGAATCATCTATTTGGGTCACTTGGATATTTTAAACTTTCAAATTCTGGAGAGTCTGAACTCCATAGGTGTTGGTATTCGTTTTCTAAAATATAATGCAATTGGAATGTATATATGTTTATGTATGTTTTGTATGTTTATAATTTTAGGCAGCAAAGGAACAGACTCAAGATTTAATAGTAAAAACCACTAAGCTTCAAGCTGAAAGGTAAGTTTTTATTTGTATACTCACCTCTTAATTAATTTGGAGGTTAAGTGGAAAGAAAATTTTCCCTAACTGCAAATCAAAATTAAAATAATATAAGTATAGTTAAAATTGATACAGCACCAAAACCCAAGTTATTATTAGTAGTAATTTAAGCATAAAAACAGTAGCTTAAGGCATTAAACATGTTACTAAGTTTGAGAGATCCTTTTTTTGGAACAGAAATGATGATGTGTTGTTTACTATGAAGTTCAGAAACGATTGTGTTTTAAAATGTAATAATTTTCTTACACTGTTTTTTCAGAATTATTGCCTCTTAGGTTTTACTATGATTAATCCTTTTTGGTATAATTAAGTATAAATATTCCTTGTAGTTTATGAAAGTAAGTAGACTGTTGATTGACAAGTGAATGAAATTAAGTGCAATATGGATTATTATAATATGTTGGTTGAATGCTGTAAAATTTGTTAATAATTAAGGTAAAACTCACTAACTGCATTCTTATGTCTGGAGTTTATAAAGAGGGAGAAGCGTTATACAGTGATACAGTATACCTGTCATTCACTCTGTAGCTTGGTGTATCATTTTAATCTAAGAATTCTGCATGTTCCATTGATAATGTGGAGGTATTACTACCTTAACTGCTTATTGTAGAGTAGCTCAGTGTACAGTAACAGATTATAGGTTGTCAAACTATGACCACTGGTCAAATCCAACTAGCACCTGCTTTTTTAAATGACGTTTCATTGGAACACAAGTGTTCATAGATTGTCTGTGGCTGCTTCTATACTCCTATAACAGAGTTGACTGAGACCACACATGGCTAACAAAGCCATGTGTGACTTAGTTTAACAGCAGGGTTAGTAGTATGATAAAGATCTCATCAAGTGGCATAGAGCTGAAAAACCAGAATTATGTATTAGAAGTATAGATCTAAGAAGGACATGGTGTTTCTCTTCAAATATTTGATAATCTGTCTAGTTTTTAAAAAGCTAGATTTATTCTGTGATTTTGCTGAGGTTGGAATGAAGTCTCAATGGAGAAATTTGCAGGTGGTACCTTTTGGCTCACTATAAGAAAGAATTTTCCATCCATTAAATTTGAACAATTACTTCTTTGGGAATAACTTAGTCTGATGTTACATGTACCCCAATTTTCCTCTTTTTTTTTCCTCACAATGCTGCCATTCTTGTTCCTTATACTTTATCATAGCAAATGTAGAACCATCTGGAAGCTTAATAGGATGGCACATTTTGGCCTTTTCCTCAAAACTTCTCATTGTATAAAAGTAAACAACTATTTTCTGATTAGTGATTCAGTCATTCTTGGGTTGAGCTCAGGATCCTGCCCTGTTAACACTATCCCTGATATTTTAATGCAGGTGGCCCAGAGATGACAATTTGAAAAGCTTTGCCTTAGCCCAAATGGTATTCAGATCTTTCATATTTCTTGGGATGTGCCCTCTCCCATAATTCTCCCATAGTAACTGTTAAGCTTGAAAATACATTTTAATATTTTTAATTAAACTTTTAATTTGAGATAATTGTAGATTCATAGGCAGTTGTAAGAATTCAAAAATCCCTTGTAGCCTGTACCCAGATATCTTTCATGGTTATCTTGAAAACCACGTAATACCACTACTAAGATAACGACTTTGATAAAATACGCTAGTCATACTTAGATTTCCCAGTTTTGCTTATGCTCATTTATGTGTACATATGTAGTTAATACATAATTTTTACCAACTGCATAGGTTCATGTGTGCACCACCACAGTCAAGAGACCAAGTAGTTCCATCACCACAAAAGTGTGTCTTGTTAGTGGGTTGGATGGTGGTGAGGAGAGTTATACCTATACCATTGTGAAAGGATGGTTGATGCTACAAGGTGCCAGCTCTACAGGAGAGGCAGTTAACTGAGTTTCTGTAGACAGAGTGAGCCTATGACCTTAGCACAAAATTATGTTTTTCATATTACAACCACTCTTCTGAAAGAAGTTTACTAGAAAAATAACTTCCCAGTTATAGATCGAGAACATAAATTTTTCTCTTTAATGTTGGCTAATAAACCAGCATTGATTTAGTTTAAAAAATGTGACTAAAACCAAGAAGATAACAGGTCAGCCATCTTACATATAAGGCTGATTTAAACTTTTCCTGTTCCAGGTTCAATCTTTCTGTTACCATCTTTATTGTAGTGTCTTTTACAGTTTGCTATTAATTGTTGTTGGTTTTTTCTTTCTAAACTATAAGCCCCTTACGAACAATGACAGTTTCTTGTTCTTTTTTGTAACTCCAGTGCTGATGCATTAGATTATAAATATTTTTTGAGTGAATGAACTACTCCAGCGTCAGAAAAGGAACATAAAATGAAAACAGTAAGCATTGTATTAGCTTGTAACATATGAAAATGAGACTGATTAATGTCTATGGGAGACGATATAAGAACACTATGCTTGTTCACATTTTCTCAAAACTAAGCAAGGTTGTTTACTTTCATTATTTTAGTAAGCCTCTGAAAGAGTTTGATCTGATATTCTTTTGGGAACTGAAAATTTGGTGACATTGTAGCATCCTCAGAGCTATAGATTTGATGTGCCAAGTAAACATTATAGTGTGTGTGTTTTAGAAAAATTACATAGCAGAAATTATGAAACAGGTTCCTAGGGGTTGGCAAAGAATTGTTTTCCTTTTTAAAATATTACCTTTTCTTTTAACAGGATTTTTTTAAAAAAATGAGCAGTTTGCTTTGGAAATAGAAATGCTATGGGCTTATTTGGATAACATGATATCTAATTGTTTTATTCAGGCAATTTATTTTGCACAAATATACATGTAAAAATGTATTGCAGAAGCTTGTATGAGGTATTTTCTCATTGCTTAGTGAAAGGTTAGGGTAATCCAGAGAGCATCACTTCTTCCTTCTTCAGACTCTCTGATTTGGACCTAGAAGCAATTTGGACCTTCTGCCTATCCTACAGAAGATACTGTTGGTGATATGGAGGGGTCCCTCCAGCTTAGACAGTTTATAAAGTCTCTATTTTCACTGGAAATGAAATCTGGGAGGATAAGGCACAAAATAGTTTATTACAGTGACCATGCTGTAAAGGAAAAGGATAAGAAAAATGTGTAAATAACCTTGAATTCAAACATTCTTTAAAATTGGATTTGGAGATTTAATTAATTTTTAAAAATATAATTTTGATCTTACACATTTTATCCCCCTCAATACATAGGAGCTTGCTTTTTTGTGGGCATACATATTTAAAGTGGGTAATGTTGTATGCTTCCTGATTTGACTGTGTTTATTCACCATACAGACTTTTTCTATGTTCTTATTCATTCTGTCTGGAATTCTGTTTCCCAGAATGTATTTGTTGAAAACACATTGTCCTTTAAAGTCCTAGTATGTGTATGTTATATACGCCTATCATACATTTAAAAATATTTTACACAATTAAAAATTCTAGGCAACCATGTGTATGTGTGTGTGCATGCATATACATGTTCCTTGAGAATTATGTGTATCTATGTATGCATATATATATTTCATGTGCTTCCTTATTACTTTGAGAATTAGTTTATTTCATAGGAAGTTTAGTCGACCTTTGTAGTTCACAGTTCTCTTATCTAGCTGTTTTCCATGTACATCCAGCCACCTTTACTCAGTACAAGAACAGGAGTGAGTGATTTCTTCTTTTATTCCCACAGGTTGTTGCTCTCATAGTGCATATCTTCTGCTCTCTAATTCCTGAACTCTTGCTGGGTGTAGTGGTCTTTGATTTCTAACTGGATATTAAGGGCAGAGTCTTACTGCTCTTTGTACTAGCTGCTTTTTACATGACAAGGTTTTTGTATTGACTGTGTTACTTTTAAATTTTAAGTTCTTATTGCTGATATTGCCTATGATATTCTTATGTCTTGAGACTTTGTGGGAGTAATACTGATTGTGCTCAACTTAAATAAAAGTTAATAAGAATAAAAAGTATTAAAATAAAAGAAAATATCAGATGATTTTTAAGGCTATATTTTATACAGTGATGCTAAGTGGCATTTTATGTATTTTGGTGTATTTAAAAAACATCTTTGTTGATATAATTCACAACCATAAAATTCACTCAAAAGTGTATAATTCAGTGTTTTTTTGGTATACTTACAGAGTTTGCAGCTATCAAATTTAGAACATTTTCATTACCCCAAAAGAAACCTTGTGACCTTTAACAAATAGTCATCAGCCTTAGTCAACTATTGATCTACATTTTCCTATATAGCTTTGCCTGTTTTCTAAACCTTTCATGTAAATGGAATCATACATGTCTAGCTTCTTTAGCTTAGCATGTTTTCAAGGGTCATCTATGTTAACATTATTGCTTTTTTTGCAGAATAATATTCTGTTGTACAAATACATAAGATTTTGGGGATTGCTCAGAAGTTGATAGATAATTGGATTATTTCTATTATTTGGCTATTATGAATAATGATGCAATGACTATTTATGTACAGGTTTTTGTGGAGACATGTTTTTATCTCTTAGGCACATACCTAAGACTTGCTGGATCAAAAATGATAATTCTATGTTTAACTCTTCAAGGAACTGCAGACTGTTTTCCAAAGAAGCTATACAGTTTATAGTTCTGATGTAGTCCAATTCATGCATTTTTGTTAATTATACATTCTGTATTTTAAAAAAAAGTTTTTGTGCCAAAATTATTTTATCTGCTAGTTTCTAAAATGACAAGATAAAAGATTCACAAATTTATTTTATTTGCTGGATTTTTTAAACCATAGCATGAGTTGGAAAGGGTGCTGTATTTTCTCTTGTGAAAGAATCCACATATTTAACCATTCTTAAATTATTGAATATTCATATTATTCCCATTACTTAAAATAATGGTTCAGAAAATGTTTTTAAATCATTATGTACATTTCAGATTACTTGCTCAGGGTTAATTCTTAGCATTGTAATGAATCAGTGATATAAACTTTTTAAAAGCATCCTTTTTTAAAAAACTTTGATTTATTTATATTTGGTGCTGAGGATCGAACCTAGTGCTTCACATGTGCTAGGCAAGCACTCTACCGCTGAGCCACAACCCCAGCCCCAATGATATAAACTTTTAAAAAGTATCCTGATGTGTATCGCCTAAATTTCTGTCCAAAATGCTATACCAATTTATACTTCCAAATACATGAGAATATCTTTTACTATACCATCATCAGCAGTAGGTATTGTCATCAAAAACTTTGCCAATTTTATCGAGGAAAAGTATTATCACACTGTTTTAATTTTGCATGTCATTGAATAGTGGAAAAATGACATGTTTTTCATTTTGTTTTGCCATTTATATTCCTTCATTTTTCATTTTGTCTCATACACTGCCTGTGTGTGTGTTTTCTTATTATTTTGAAATTACTTCATTGAGGTGAACTTAGAGTATATCTTCAGGAAAAGAAAAAAGTATCAGAAGATTTATATGTTCTGGAATTATTTGAAGGAATCATGAAGACTGAGTAGTCTTAATTTAAATACTTGGGCAATATGTAAGTGCATGTATTGGAAATTCATATGTGTGTGTAGTTTCTTTGTAAGGAACAATGGAAGTTCCTGTGTATATATTTCTGCAACTTGTCTTAGATCACTTTGTACTAACATCTATTATCTACCTCATATTTTTAAATGCTGTATATTATTCAGTACTATATATTTTCCATATGTATATTATATTACATGTGGTAATTGTGTGAATATATCTCAAGTACTATAGAAATTGTAGTTTATGATTGTTTATATTTTTGTATTAGCATTTATTTTATATAAATTTTAGATATCAAAACCCCTCAGAAGTTGTATATGTCAGTGTTAATGTGAGGTGAGGGCAAGGTTTGCATCTCATGTGCCTTTTGTCACAGCAGGCTCTGCTACAGCCTACAAGTTGTAAGTCCCCACTAATATCATTTCAGTGCACTAATGCTGCCAGACCAAACCATTGAGCCATCTAGAGGTAGCTTTCTGTCAGAATGGTTGTGGGAAAGATTTACTTGGAAAAAGTAAATGTTATAAAACTAAAGAGTTATATGATTTTAAAATATATTAGAATTTATTTTTGTCACTACTTTAAAAGTTGCCATCTTTTGATACCTAACCCTTGTTTTAGCAGAATAGCCATTCTTGAAAATGTTTTTGGGCCATCTCTTTTGTAGATATAAAGTCTGTGGTTCAGTCTTTATCTCATGGATTGATTTTTAGATCCAGTCGACCATATTATTTGGGATCAATTTTAGTGATTAAGGGGTATGATTAAGATGGGTAGCACTAGTTTTAGTTAAAACAAGTGAAAACATAAAGTGATTGATTTTCCTTGGCCCCTAAATAAATTGTTTCTAAATATTGATTAAAAAAGCTCCAAAAGGGATTTTAGTTGAGTCAGTTTGTATTATCTCAAGGAATTTTATGAAGTTTTATAATTACTTTAAATCTTGTGTGATAATGATTACAACTTTAAGAGTATAAAATAAACCCTCTGAAGGTGACTTTTAGATAGTAGTAATAGGACAGTTATAGACCTGTGCTCTTCAACTCTTCAAACCCAGTTAAGTTTTATTGTTTAAAGTGAAAACCTGGACAACTGACTTTTCCTTTGTAGATTTCTATGTTTGTAGAACTATAAACTGTATAGCTTCTATGTTATTCAACTGGAATATTTAGTTTTGTAAACTCAAACCCTCCAGATCCGAAGGTGCAAATAAAATAATGAGGGCTGACTTGTCGTGTTATCTGTACATGTTTATCTTTGTTGATTATACTTTTACAATCATATTTATGTACTTCCAGATCCAAGATAGAGAAACCAGGAATGTGGAACAGGTTCTGTTCAGGGAGTTCATGTTCCTAGGTGACCTTTAGATGGTTGGCAGTCCACCTAATCCTTTATGTCCATATAGGTTGCTTTTCAGACTAGAGTATGCCTTTTTCTGATTGTCAGCTAGGCTATATAAGATTGTATTTAGATAATATAATTTAAAACATTATTTTAATTATCATATAGAAAATATGGGGAACCCCAAGTAGAGAAGAGACTTTGGAGATTGGGGAGAATCAGTAGGATTCTTCACTTCTCTTTTAATCTAAAATTTAAAAAATGAATGGACCTGATTTTTGGTGTTTGTGTACTTCATATGAAAACTTCAAAGGTTAGGATATTTTAGTGACTGGGAAGAAACTGGTTGAAAACAGGAGTATAATTCTGTCTTCAAAAATAACCTTGTCAAGTTATACATTTAAATTATCCCAGTACTCATAAGTGGCTGAAAGTTTATAATGCATAGACCATTTATGAACTTATTTCTGCTTTTACATAATGATTGAGTCCTTTAAATATCAAATGTTGAATAATGTCAGCTAGTTTGTATCACATACTTGCCTGATGAGTTTCCAGTTACTTTATCACCTGATGCATTTCCAATAAAATGAGTTTCCAACATTTAAGGTAGAAACAAGGTTTTCAAAGATACTTAGAATCTTTAACAAATTTGTTTTACAAAATTATTGTCAGAGGGTACAATTTGTTTTATAGATATGCAAATGCATTGCATGCTTGATTTCTATTCCTTGTTTTTTTTTTTTTCCTATTGTAGTCAAAGATTAGAAATTCGAGCACAAGTTGCAGATGCCTTCTTGTCTAAGTTCCAACTGACTTCTGATGAAATGAGTCTTCTCCGAGGTACAAGAGAAGGGCCAGTTACTGAGGTATCCTTGCTTCTATTAGAATAACTTTAATTTAAGAGTGTAGCAGCTACACATGTTACTTTAAAGCTTATTCTAAATTGAGAAATTAAGATGCACATTTTAGCTTTTAATTTTTATTTCTCAGAGTTACATTTGTATTTTTAAAAAGTCAGGGTACGACACAACTTATAAAGGAACCTGGGGCTGGGGCTGTAGCTCAGCGGCAAAGTGCTCACCTAGCACGTGCGAGGCCCTGGGTTCGATCCTTAGCACCACATAAAAATAAATAAATAAATAAATAAAGATATTGTGTACAACTACAACTAAATATATATATATATATATATATATATATATATATATATATATTTAAAAAAAAAAGAAAAAGAAAAAGAAACCTGCCTCACTGTTCCATTCCTGTCTCTTCAGTCTCATCAGCTGGTTTCATCCTTGTTAACTGCTGCTTTTGCAAATTCTGTTCTAGATCTTGAATTTAGAATATATTTTTGTTATTTATTGACTGTTTTATGTTGATTCACTATCATGAAATATGATTTAGTCTTTTACTTCCTCTTCTCCTCCTTAAGCACAACAGTACACACCTGTGTTCTCTTTATCCCCTCCGCAGCCCTCAGTAGTCTCATCACATTTCCTATTTGTGAGTCACAATGAGGTCACTTTGAGTAGGTGTTTCTTTCTTTCTTTCTTTTTTTTTTTTGATTTTTTTTTAGTTGTAGATGGACACAATACCTTTATTTTATTTACTTATTTTTGTTTGGTGCTGAGGATTGAACTCAGTGCCTCATATATGCAAGGCAAGCACTCTGCTGCTTAGCCACAATTCCAGCCCGGAGTAGAAGTTTCTTATTTTATAACTTCTATCTTTCCTGGAGTTGGAAATTGCTTATCTTTTCATATAATTGACTTTTTAAGCTTATGCCATTCTTTGCAAACTGACCAACAGAATTATGAAACCTCTCAAAATGTTAAATAAAAAAGAGAAATTTCAGGGTTTTTTGTTTTGTTTTTTTTCCCCTTGAAGACAATGTGGTTTGTTCCAGAAAAGAATATTTTGGTCTCCTGATTGGAAGGAGCTATATAAACTTAAGCCTGATGTTATCAGGGATCAAAGGGCAAGAAGGGTTCTTGAGGTGGTGATGGAATCTCACTGAGTGTCTCAGTAGTACATTTTCTGGAAAGTAAGGCTCTAATATGTTTTCCTTAAGGAAAAAAAAATCAGTAATCAGTTCAGCATCAGTCAATTCTTGGTATGTAATGAGCGTCTTTTATGTATCCAGCTTTGCATTCTGTTCATGGGTAAGGGGGAAGGAGAAGAGAATGGCTGCATAGCTGACATATAAAACAGCATCTTCAGCAATTAGAGTGATGTGCTTAAGTCATAGATATGTAATAGTGGGCGTGTTTTTGCTTTTTGTGTTAGTCTTCAGGTTTTCATTTGTCTCTCACTAGATTATACACTTTTTGAGGACAGGGACTTTTGTCTTTAGAAATTTTATATTGCTGGCAACTTAGCATGCTATTTGGTACATGGAAGGCATCAAATTAATGTGTCTTAAAATGTGAAGTGATACCTCTTATACTTTGTATAAAAATTGGAAGAAAGTTAGGATTGGTATAGAGAGACTTCATTAGAATATATGAAAGTCTGTCTTCTCTTTATAGTGATCTTTTAATTTAGAATAATATAATTTTACCTGACAGCATGGACATATTTAAAGTCATCTTCTTAATTTTAAAGGATTTCTTCAAGGCATTGGGCCGAGTAAAACAGATTCATAATGATGTCAAAGTTCTCTTGCGAACAAACCAGCAAACAGCAGGGTGAGTAACTGTTTCCTGCACTAGTAGTATTGCTACTTATGTTTCCAAAGTCTCAGACACTTTAGATTGTATTTAAAACTATATGACATTTTGTGAAATAAGGACTTAGTCCATTATTATTTATCTTTGGGAAAGACAGAAGTTATACTCTGACATTAGTTATACCCTAGTAGTAGTTGATAAGTAAGTGATACTATTAAAATTTGACATTTATTTAATTAGAAAAATTATTGAAAAATTATTCTCCAAAATGAAGTTAACATAGGATAGCTAAATCATTATGTAATTAAATAAAAATAGTTAGGTGCTTAGATATAGCTATTGACTGAAAGTTTAAGTTTGTAATCTTCAATTTATTGTTTTTTTTTTTTTTTAGTTTAGAAATTATGGAACAGATGGCCTTACTTCAAGAAACGGCATATGAAAGACTTTACCGGTGGGCTCAAAGTGAGTGATTTCCTTCATGTTGTGTAGTTTCATGAATATCAGTATTTGATAATTTTATTTGGCCTTTATTTGCTGTAATTAGATTTTAGTAATCAAAAGTAGTTTTGAAAAGAAAAGTGAACTTTACATTTGAACATATTGTCTTCGTGTTTATATCATGAGCATCTGCTCTCAGCCAAGAGCATATTTGATGAAGGATGATGATAAAAAAATGAAGGCAGTGTTTCTGTTTTAGGTTATCATTAAAGCTGATTGGGCATCTCTTGTTATTTACATAAAGTTACAAATGATGAATTCATTTTCTTTTTCCACTGTAACAAATTACCACAAACATAATGGCTTAAAACAATACAGATTTATTATTTGGCACTTCGAAATCAGGCATAGTCTCACCATGCTAAAACCCAAGTGTTGGCAGGGCTGCTTCAAGGGACGGTCTGTTGTTTCCTAACTCATTCAGTGTATTGGCAGAATTCAGTTCTTGCATTTGCAGGATAGAAGTCTAAGTTTCCTTGCTGGCTGTCATTGAGGGGTTTTCCTATTTTCTTGAGGCCTCCTGCATTCGTAGGCTTATGACCCCCTTCTCTGTCTTCAAAGTCAGCAGTGATGAGTCAAATCACTGTCTCACTTTGAATTTCTTCTGCCTCTTTTCCCACCTCATATCTCTGACTAACTCTTCTTCCATTTTAAGACTGTGTAATTGCCTTAGACCCAGTTGGGTAATCAGAGAAAACAATCCTACTTTAAGGTTTATCACCTCAATTACTTTGCCAAATCCTGTTTGCTGTGTAAGGTATCATATTCACAGGTTCCAGGGATTTGGTTGTGTGTAACTTTGAAGGGCTATTATTTTGCCTACCACAATACTCTATTTACATTTGTTTTAGGATGTTTCAGTAAATTGTTTGCAAAATAGCATGTTAAAACGAGAGAAGATAGTTGAAATGAGCAAGAGTGGAATAGGTACACATAATATTTTACTGTGTGTTTCTACCAGCTCACTGTTGGAAGGACCTGGAATTAAATCTAGTTAGCCAGTTACACCTGTACTACTGTACTGGGAAAACCCAGTGCTCTGGTTTGGATGAATTTATCTTTTTTTTTTTTTAAATATTTTTTTAGTTGTAGATGGACACAATTTCTTTCTTTCTTTCTTTCTTTCGTGAGGATCGAACCCACTGCCTTGCCCCTGAGCCATAGCCGCAGCCCCTGGATGATTTTATCTTTGAGCCTGCTTGTTTTTCTGCCTCTCTTCTTCTTTACATTGTCTGCTCCCATCAGGAGTTGTCTGACTTTCTCTCTTGGAATTCAAATCCTGTCTCAACTTTCAAGTTAGTGCTAGGGTTCTCTGTCTTCTAGAATTATCCATAACTGTAGTAAAGCATAGTGACTTCCCCTTTCTGAACATTAACCTCTGGAAATATTTATTTAGCATCCAGAATTATGCTACACTGTTATGATATAACTTTTCACACATACATCTTATCTCTCTAGTTGGATTTCTACTTTCTCAACAGCAAGGACATTGCCTCACATTTCTTTCTGCGATCTCTACAGATGACATAGTGGTTCTCAACATTTACCATTGGACCTTGAATACTACATTCTGTGGAGCCACGTAGAGATGCTTGGGTTTTTCTCAGTCAGTGCATGCTAGAAAATAAACTATTGGTGCAAGGTCCTCATATACCAGAAGATTGGGAATTTCTGAACAAGTCATAAGTTCTTTGAACATAGTAGTTACTTGTAAGCACTTTATGGATAAAATTGAATAGTAAAATAAGGAAAATGTTGACATAGAGATTTTTTAGTTTAAAATGTAAATTTTTGGGGTCTGAGGTGTAGCTCAGTGGTGTGGTTAAGTGCTTGCTTCACATGGGCAAGGCCCTAGGATTGATCCCCAGCACCACACACACAAAGTTTCATAAAATCCAAACTATTTTGAAATCATAATTTTATTACCATATATCAGTTATTCACACTAACATTTTAGCACACTATTTAAATATTGCTCCTGAGGAAATGCACTGGTAATATATTTTTAGTGTTCCTTTCCCCTCCCTTATACTACCATGTATATGACAGTAATTCAGTAAATGTTTATTCATTGATTTTTTTTTTCCAGAACTGTAGTTTTTCTGTAATAAAAAAATACAGATCTGGAGTATGGTTGACAGCATTTGTGGTTATGTAAGGTTATATAAGTATTTAAACTTACTTTTCTAGTTTGGTTGACCATATAAAATAGGTTTTGATTGACATATTCTCTACATTTTAAAAGCATTTTTGCTATAGAATTTAGATTGCTGGTATACAGTGGACATAATAAATATCCAATTTTAATTTTAACAAAGGTTATAATGTTGTTTTACAGGTGAATGCAGAGCATTGACACAAGAGTCATGTGACATATCTCCAGTTTTAACTCAGGCAATGGAAGCCCTACAGGATAGACCTGTGTTATACAAGTAAGAAGGCCCTACATTATAGACATGTATTATATAAGTAATTTTCTTTGATAATTTTTATTGATTTTTTAAATACTAACAAATTCATGTATAATAGTTTAAGTAATTATGCTTTTCAGTGATATTTTCACCCTGTTGTATATTATTTGAATGTTACTTGCTACAGAATACAATATGGATGGGAAGACCAAGGTGTCCTGTATCTAGTTGTCCTCCTAGATATGTGGAGGTTGAGTGGCTTAATTAGCCTGTTATCTCATTAACTGCCTTATAAGTCACTATAACTCCTATATCAACTTTTCCTTTGAGAAGACAGTCATATAGGGTCTGTGAGATATAATCACCCAGAGATGAAATAAGAGTATTTCTATCAGTAGGTTCCATCAATAGGATTCAAGTAAAGAGAGGATCCTGGTCTTTGACCTTATAAATTATTACCAATCAAGAACTCCATGGTAATGTTTTAGATGAGAATCCTATGCATTTAGCTTGTTTATTTATAAATCATCCTGTATTTTATTATTTCTCATAAAATAAAAAGTAAATATTTTTTTTTTTAAGTGCCTGGAGTAGTATGAAAATAAGCTTTCAGAAACCCAAGTAAACAGCCAAGGAACTTGTACAGAGCCATTGATCGGATCCTGCTCTGAAACATCTCTTTCAGAGGATTTCTTCTTTACTTTCTGATTGGAACATTACTTATTCTATCATAGACTCAGAGAACACAGGGCTTAGGATGTAGCTCAGAGTGCTGGGCCAGCACATATAAGGTACTGACTTCAGTTCCCAGTGTGTGTGTGTGTGTGTATGTGGGGTGGGGGGAGTTACAGAATACAAAGGTTGGGACTTCTGGATAAAATAGCAACACTCTAGTGTGTTAAGCACTGTTCTGAATGCTGGAGACACAACATCAAACTGCTTTATTTTATAGAAACAGACATAAGAAAATGCATTTTAATAAAATATACTAATTGCTGGTTTAGAGGGAGAATCTCAGGTGTTGGGTTGTTCACATATTCTGGGATAGGGGAAAGAAATGATCGTCAGGGAATATTTCCTGAGGGAAAGAGTTATAAAGTGATTTCTGTGGTTGAATAAGTATTTTTCATGGAAGAAGCTACTGAGTAGAACATCCCAGCTTGAGGAAATAACAGGTGCAAAGATGTGGACTGAGAGCGAACATGCGCTTTTGGGAGATTCATTGCAAAAGTTTGCCCTTGATTTAGCAGTAAGAGCCAGATCATAGTACCCTGAATGTTGTGCATGGTCACTGTTGATCAGCAGCTTAGCAGCTTGTTTCTACTTTGAAATTTCTTTCCAGTATTTTTACTTCAAGATATTGGCAATGATTATAAGTCTCTTGGTATGTAAAACATTTGGTGTTTAATTTTAATCAAGTGTTAGTTAACATTGTCTGCAGATTAATATTTGTTCATAAGGTTTTGTTCTAAAAGATGCTTCTGTGCCTTTTTGTGTTTCAGACACATAAAAAGGACAGTTGACTTCTCTAGTCAGCATTTTTACAGAAATGTAACTTTTCCATTTCCCAACACATACTGTATATATTAATGGGATTCTCTGTGCTCTTTCCCTACATGCATACAGCATGCAGGGATTGTATCCATCCATCCTTCTTCCAGTCTCCACCCTGCGGCCTCCTTCCCAATCTCTAGTAATCACTGTTCTGCTTTCAGCCTGACTTTTTGTTTGTTTTCAAGTGTGACAAAGAACATACAATACTTGTTTGTTGATGTCTGGCTAATTTCACTTATGATGTCCTCCAGTTCCATCCATTTGGTGCAGATGACAGGATTTTATTCTCTGTGGCTGAACAATGCTCCATGTTTGTATACACCATATTTTCTTTATCTGTTCATCTGTTGATTGAGTCCATATATTAGCTGTTGTGAATAGTGAAGCAGTAAACACAGACATGTGTGTATCTCGTTTGCATTCTTACCTCATTTCTTTTGAACATCCAGGAGTGGGATAGCTGCATCACATGGTGGTTCTACCTTTAGTTTTTGAGGAACCTCCCTACTGTTTTCCATAATGGCTCTTATAACTTATATTCCCACCAGAAGTGTATAAGAGTTCCTTTTTCTCTACATTCTCATAAGCACTTGTTACTTTTCTTTTGCTAATATCCATTCTAACTGGGGTGAGGTGGTACTCACTGTAAGTTATCATTCTTGATCAACCCTTGGAAAGAAGCAGTTCAATATGAATTCATAAGGTGAATTTTTGAGTAAGATTTCTTTTTTGGGTGGGGTGTGGGGAGTACCTGGATGGAGCCCAGGAACACTTTCTACTGAGCATTAACTCCAGCCCTTTTTATTTTTTATTTTAAGATAGGGTCTTACTGAGTTGCTTAAGGCCTTGCTAAGTTGCTGAGGCTGGCCTCAAACTTGTGATCCTCCTGCCACAACCTCCTGAGCCAGATTTCTTTTTAAATTTGTAGTTGTGAAAATTCTTTCTCGTTTTTTATTATTGATATTTTTATATATGACAGAATAATGCAATACAATTTATATTACACATATAGAGCTTATTTTTTCATATCTCTGGTTGTATACAAAGTATATTTACACCATTTTGGGTCTTCCATACATGTACTTTGGGTAATGATGTTCATCACATTCCACCATCATTTCTAACCCCCTGCCCCCTCCCTTCCCCTCTCACCCCTCTGCCCTATCTAGAGTTCTTCTATTCCTCTCATGCTCCCACTCCCTACCCCACTATGAATCAGTCTCCTCATGTCAGAGAAAACATTTGACACTTGTTTTTTGGGGATTGGCTAACTTCACTTAGCATTATCTTCTCCAACTCCATCCATTTACCTGCAAATGCCATGATTATTCCTTTTGTTGCTGAGTAATATTCCATTGTGTATAATGCCACATTTTTTTAATCCATTCATCTACTGAAGGGCATCTAGGTTGGTTAGATATTGTGAGTTGTGGTGCTGAGCCAGATTTCTTAAGCAAGCCCTTGAAAGCTTCATTTTCCTTAGCTGTAAAATGAAGATACTGATGGTACATACTTTGCAGGGCTCTTGTGAAGATTAAATTGGTTTATTCACATGAGGTGCTTTAGAATATTGCTTGGCATAGCATTAATTTTAGATATTATTTATTTGGAAAGGAGATGACTAAGAAACTGATAGTTAAGTAGGGATGTATTTAAGGTCTATATGACAAGCAGGGGAAAAGCTTGAAAGATGGAATGGAGAGGCAAATAGAGTGGTAAAGGTTTATCTGGGAAAGACACATGCCAGGAAATGGGCAATGATGGCAAATTTAAAAGACTTTAAGAGGCATTAGGGAGTGGAATGGGGAAGTAGTTTTTTAAGAACATTTACTGGGATATGATGAATGCTTAAAAAGAGAAAATTTGCCTTTTCTTAAGTAATCATCTGTCTTCCAAGGAGTAGTTTCATTAAATTTAGGAAAAACTTAGTATTTCATGTTAACCACCAGATGGCAGTATTTGAACTTCTTTTAAGTTATGTGTAAAAGCTTCTCTGTACATTGTGTCTCAAATGTGTTATCATGTGCAAGAAAAGTATCAGTTATTGAAAATAACCTAACTCAAGTGTTTCTTAGGTAGTATATAACTGTAATACTAATGTATTATTTTAATAAATCAAGTACAGAAATTTCTTTAAAAAAAATTTATTATAAATGGAAATGAAAAAATAGATACCTTCTCTTTCTAAACCCTCAGAACATAACTTATTTGAGAATGTAGTAGTTTTTACAAAACTTATTTTTCTTCATTTTTATGTGTTTTTGTTGCATTCCAAAGAAAAACAACTATACTATTCTTTTATCACTTGACTTTTAATCAAAATCTTTCTTTTAATTTGCCTTTTAACCAGAATTTTATTTTATTTAATATAGATGAACACAATTAAAAAAATTACACTAGGGAAATTTTAGAATGTTTAGACAATATGAGTGTTTATAACCTTTATAAAGCAACATTTTGAAATTTTGAATTTTATTGGAAGAGAGTCTGATTTTTATCAAAATTTTTCTGTCTTTGAGAAAGATGTTTCATGGCCACGGATATTTTGAAGATTCTTCATGGCTCAGTCTGTTTTGCTTAAATTATATTTGTTTTGCAGAAGGATTATAATGTTTACTAATATCCCATATTATATCTGTTAAATTGCAGTGTTTACCTGGGTTGCTTATCCCCTCCCATTTAAAATAACCAGTGAATTTATGTGTTTCTGGTATAACTGTCCCCCCAGTGAACATCTTGGAACAGAAATCATGTTGTTTTTCTTTACTATGGTAGCATTTTAGGAAAGGAGATTAGTTTTATGTATTTAAAAAGTGAAAAGTTGGGCTAGGGTTGAGCTTAGTGGTAGAGCACTTGCCTAGCTCACATGTATGGGGCACTGGGTTCGATCCTCAACACCACATAAAAATAAATAAATAAAATAAAGATGTTGTGTCTCTCTAGAGCTAAAAAAAAATAGTTAAAAAGTGAAAGGTTTATGAATTTTTTACTGTAGTGGGTTGTCTGATCATAAGTGCCTTATTTCATAGGATCAGATACCTTATTCACATAGATCATATGTGTAACTGAAGAGTAAGAGATCCAAATAGAAGTGTGCATTTTGATCCTCATATGTTTAAAAAAAAATGGAGGGCGGTCATGTAGTTTAACAGGCCTTTCTGGTAGTGCATTTTCCCTTTCCTAGGCTGGTGTGTCACTGCAGAGAATTTCAAAACTATTTCCTTTTAATTGAAAGCAAAAACACACACAAAGAACCACAGTCTAGTTAATAGTGAACAGTCCTCAAAAAGGTTTGGATTCCTAAAAATTCTAGTTATTTGCCACTTCACTACACTTTTCCTTTTAGTTGAAAATAATACATCTCCCAGCTTTCTCATATTTAACAAAATGTGGAGTTTTCATTAAGTTAGCAACATGCCAAAGAATGCAGAAGTACCTAAGGAATGAATTCTGCTGGAAATCTTTGGGAAATGTTGGTAACTTTTGTTAAGGTATTATTGGTTAATAAAAAATAATTCTTAATATTTAGACTGGGAGAAAATGTTAGGAATTTAAAAGTCGGGGTGTGAAATCTGCTGACTTTAGGTTGATACAAATATTTTTCCTGCGTACATTAAAATAAAACTTTTAACTGGGGAATGGGTGTTAGGAATGATAATGATAAGAGCAGAGTCCAGTCAGTGAAATGGGTACTCCTGGCAGCTCCAGGCCATCCTCATAAATTGCTCCCCAAATTTTCCTGTCTTCCCCTCTTCCCTGTAGAAAAACTTTCCCCCATTTTCAGTTACAATAGGTGACTTCTAAATGTCTGTTAAAATAAGAGATATTTGTTATGTATGAATGATTGGTTAATAAACTTAAGGAACATCTAATCTCTATTTATTGGAGTTAAAATAAGGTTTTAAAAATGGATAACAATCTGGGGGGCAAATTTTAGTGGTAAGTTGTAATAGTATCATAAGGAGAATTTTTTAATGTAGAAGAAAAAGTTTTAATTTTGGATTACACAGTTCTAATCATAACCAGCTTCTGAGAATTAGGTATATGATTTCACATAAAACTCTACATATTTTGGACTGCAAAGAAACCAAAACCTGAAGAGTTCAGGATTCCCACCTTGACTCGATTTTCTTACTTTTGCTAATCCAGGATGCTATTCCTTGTTGCCATTGAGGAATAAGGAACTGTTTTAATCCCAGTCCCAGCATTCTTTCTTGGGAGAAGCATTCTTTCTTGTACTTTTAGACTTAATTTTCAAGATGCTAAACTTACCTCACAATATTTATTTTTTAATTTAAAACCAATATAACTTGAAAGAGAATACCCAAAGATGCTTTAACTGTGTTTGCTTATCTTAGAAATTATGTGATTAGCTTGATGTAATTTAGGAAAAAACCCCAAATCTCTCATATAACCTTGTCTTCTAGGTATACCTTAGATGAATTTGGAACAGCCAGGCGAAGTACAGTTGTTCGCGGGTTTATTGATGCTCTTACAAGAGGGGGCCCTGGAGGTACCCCCAGGCCCATTGAAATGCACTCCCACGACCCTTTGAGGTACAGTAATCGACGTCAGTAGAGACATCAGTTGATCTTTTTCCCAGGACATTTTTACTAACATGTAGTTGTCATTAGGTATGTGGGAGATATGTTGGCGTGGCTTCATCAAGCTACTGCTTCTGAGAAGGAACACCTGGAAGCCCTCCTGAAGCATGTAACAGCACAAGGTGAGTGCACAATTGGTGTTGTATTGCTAACACCAGGCAGAAAGCAGCACTAGGCTCTTGAGGCTCTCTATTTCTGTTCTTGTTGCCCATCTTCTTCACTGAGATAAACACTTCACATATAGATGGTCTGGTAAACATCCTCATTCCTCGTCCTTGCTATGACTCCCCCCACTGCATGCTGCTAATAGACTTCCTCCTCATTGCTGTCATCCTGTCATGCACAGTTCAGTTTTGTAGCAGACCCTCTTACCTTCCGCATCAAGCCTACGCTCCTCTGTTTTGCTCCTAAAACATTTTTGGAGTGTCTGGTGTATTATTTCAGATCCTCACCCTGACACTTTAAAGGTAAAAATTGGTATTAATTTCATTGTATCTGTGAGTAAACAGGCTGAGTAACTTGCTTACTGTCATTAAGTTGCTAATTCTTTTATTTCTATCACCAAGCATCTTTTTTCATTCTCATGAAACTGTTATAAAGAGGTTTTGTTACGACGTGTACTAAATGTACTTAAAATTTTTGTCTTGGTTTCAAGGGAGAACAATGACTACATTTAATAGCTGCTAATATCTCTAGAATTTCAAATCTTCTTAGTTGTGACTGCCTTCGAAGGCCTGGTTAGAGTCTGAGGGTTTGATGTGTAATTGAGAGATGCTCCCTTTGATAGGAAGTGAAGGGAAATATTTCATCTGGTAATACTTGATTGTTCTGTGTGGCTCAGCCGTACATCACTGTGGTTTATCACATGATATATAAGAGGCCATGTACAAATTGGTGATAATACTTTCATAAATTTCAGCTCTTTAATATTAGATGCTATATATATCTTAGATTGGCATATTCTCCATTTTTAAATTTTTAAAAATCTGTTATTATCCAGTTTAAAAAAATGTATTTCTTTAAAAGTGTTTTAGAAAAGTATACATGAGGGGCAATATTAAGAGGTAGAGAAAATAGTAATATATAGTCTACTTATAGTATATATAGTATGTAGTAGGATGTATAAATTAGATGAAAAAGGTTATTCTACAGCAGTGACTTAAATCTTCTGAGCCTGTTTCTTTATATGTAAAGATGAAGGTAGTTATAAGTAGTAAATGTCATTACCCAGTACAGTGCCTGATAAGTAGTTGGTATTTTAAAAATGTCAGTGTCTTCTGTGAGATTGCAGTGTTTGTTTTTCATCTTTGTCCTTGTCAGTTTTTGTGCCCTGTGCTGCACCTTGAAAAAGGTTTTTGTAGAACAAGTGCTAGCACATCTTCACATCTTCCTTCAGTTGATATGTTTCATGGTCTTTTTTACCATTTCATACAGTTACTCTTTTTTCACGATGAATGTTCATTTTATTTATTTAACAGTCAAAGGAATTAAGAAGACTTTTTGAGACACACATCAGTCATTGACACAATTAGTAATATGTTATTAAGACAACTAGTAATGTCCCCAAACATATCAAACTTAATACAATATTGTTAATGGTTATTTTAAATGTCACTAATGCCATTGATCCTGGTATTATTGTTAGCTTTTAGAACTTATGTGAAAAAGTTACATGGAAAAAATTTTTAATTTTGAGTACTTAATTTTAGGTGTTGAAGAAAATATTCAAGAAGTTGTTGGGCATATCACTGAAGGTGTGTGCAGACCTCTAAAGGTAAAATATTTTGTTTTTATATGTTAAAAAGTGTCTGGTTAAACAGTGCTTTATTCTCATGAGTTTAAAGAAACTGATAATAGCTTGAGCTAAAGCTGTTATTTTGTTAATACATTTACCAAGCTCAAATAAAGTACATTTAAATATAATCATTGTCAGTTTTTTCTCTAAGAAAGAAAATTAAAAATATTCTTAGTTTGCATATATTGACTTATTTTTTTACAGATTACTTCCCACAGTTATTTACACTAATCAGTTGAGAAAAGTGTTTTAAATTAAAATAACTAATGTTTTAATTCTTAAAGATTTCCTATGAAAATGTTAATTTGTTTTATTACTTCATACACAGTAATCTTTTGTTTATTATAGCAATAAATAATTATTAATCAACGGTTAAAATAATATTGTATACTATTATCATCATCAATATTATTTACATTAGAGGAACAAAATTTGGAATCAAACTTGGGCAGAATTTTCCATTTTACCATTTAATTGTATGTTGCTTAACTCTTCTGCACCATTATTTTCTAACACTTAACCTGAATGTGGGAATAACTGCTGTCAAGGGTCACTGTGAGGACTAAATGAGATAACTGTATACTTCCTAGTGCTAAACTTCGGAGCAGATTTTCTTTTCTTTTATTAGTATTTATGGAATACTTGGTAATTGTTGTCTTTTCTTTGTTGACTGATCTCAATTTAGCATATAGAAGTTGAAATTTGTGACTTTTGTGGCTTATTTATATCAAGAATTAAGGTTCAAACTAATTTCTTTCATTTCTGAGATTTTTCTTTATATTTTATCTCAGGAAAGAAAATCTCAGACAACACACCCAAATTTAATTATTACTATAACTTGATCATCTTTGGGTCCAGTTGTGTAACAACTATAAACAAATAGCAAAGTATTTAATACACGTTTCCCAAATGAACTATTTTTTGCCATAGTTTGATTTTCAGACATTTATAGCTCATATAAATGTTGCTTGCTTTGTATACTAGCAGTTATTAGAAAAGTAAAAAAAAAAAAGGAAAAATAAAAATAAGATTTTTTTCCCCTATGCTTTTTAGACCTTTTTATAGTCACTTACGGTTAAGTGAAACTCCTAGTCACTTTGATAAGTAAATTGTACTTTATCTGCCTTGCCTATCTCCTCCTTCCTTACTTATAGTATTATTTCTATTGCAGCTTTTCTTTTTAAAAAAGTAATTACATAAAAGATTATAATTCTTTGACATTTCAATGGATCTTATAGTTTCCTGTCTTAGTCTGATTAAGAAATGTTCTATGTTAAAATTGTTTAACACTTGGGGCTGGGGTTGTAGCTTAGTGGCAGAGCACTTGCCTCGCATATGTGAGGCACTGGGTTCTATCCTCAGCACCACATAAAAATAAATAAACAAAAAATAAAGAAAAAAAATTGTTTAACACTCATTACCTACATAAAAAATTTTATACTCAAGTCTGCCTTTGTTTTAAAATGTACTTAGAAATTCTTATTTCATTTTCCTTAAATGTATATACACAGAAAGGTGTTGATAACAATTATAGGACATTACTATGACCATCCCTGGCAAATTGTAATGTAAGATACCAAAGGTAAAAAAGAAATACAGTTAACAAATACCTTTTTTATTTGTAAAGTGTAAAAAGAATCCTTTTGGTTTCTGAAGTGGCAGAAATCTTAAATCTTTCCATATGCTAGTAATGTTTATTGCATACTGCAGAGAATGCTTTAGAGGTGTTCACAGTTGTTATAGTCAAATGAGCTTGGTAGTGATTTATTTCATGATCCAACAACTCTTGTACCTTCCCTTCCTTTATACACTCACAGAAAATGTTAACTATTGAAGAATTTTCCTCTTATGTGACTTCATTTGGCTATCTGATATCATCTTCAATGATGTAGTTGTTAGCTGAGGAAAAAGAAATCTTACTTTAATATTTTCTTTTGCAAGTATAATTCTGAATTTTTTCTTAGAAATTATCTGCTTTTGCATTCCATTAATACAACATTTCTTTCTTTTAGACGAACAACTAACCTTTTCTTAATGACATATGATATTAGATGTTTTGACTGCCTTTCTGTCAATTCAGTCTTTTTTCTTTGTAGGAATGATTTTTTTTAAAGGACAGGGGACATTTTGATTTTGAGACATTGTTTTGCTTTGTTTTCTTTTGTTCATTCTGAAACCCAACAGGACCTCATGCATACTAGGCAAGCATTTTACCAATGAGCTACATCCGCACGCAGCCCATGGAATTTTGATTTTTTGAAGCATAAAGAAATGGTCTCAGTGGTCATAGATACATTTGAGAATCTTCATTTTTTATTTGCTCTATCCTGTTCAGCCTTTTCTTTTCCAATAAAGAAAATTTCATAGGTTGTAGATCTAAATATTTGCAAGCATATGCATTAAGACATGATCTTTATACTTATTTCCTGTTTAAAAAAAATCTGTGCCCTAAACTTAAAATTAAATATATTGTGTTAGGATTCTATGGCTCATCAACATCCAACCCATTACTTTTGAAGGTGTATTCACTGCTAAGTTATAGCTAGAAACATCAGAATCCATACACACACACAACCTTTTGTTCTTTAAGCCCATGGGTAAGATGGTCCTTTAATGTAAATGTAAATGTAGATTCCTGAAAGATGCAGCCCTCATTTGGATTCTATTTCTTTTAATAAAAATTTAATGTATGTAAATTACAGTGGGTTCTATGAAAATGGGTGTTTATGAAGGTAAATGGTATGGGAAGTAGAGCTGAATACTGTACTGCAGGATACACTCATGGTGCCCCCAGGGACTACTGGAGACCTGGGGATGTTTTCCTACTCTGTGCCTTACCTGTGAGACTGAGGCAAGGGAGGCTTGTCAGTATCCCTTCCTGGCTCCCTTCTCCCCGGGTCCCCAGGAGCACCACTTCTCATGCCTCCTCACTCCTACTGGCTCTGGAGAAGAGAGCCACTGTTCCTATGTCTTGCCCAGCTTTTCTGCTGTTGGACTGCCTGTTTTGCTACTTTAAATGTCTGCCTGTCCCGTCCTTGCCCTTCTCATAGTACAGTTATGATTTACTGAGTGGTTATTATGTGCTAGAACTGTTATACAAACTTTAGATCTACTTTAAAGTTCTGATAATAATGTTTGTCCTTCACAGTCATTGCCATTTTAATTTCCAATCAGTCCTTGCTGCTACCACTTCTTGAGTCTCTTTTTATGTTTTTTATTTTTGTTTCTCTGGTCTCTGGTTGTTTTTCCTGATACTTCTGGCTTTTGCTTAATGGTTGGTCTCTTACTAGCTCTCATAAGACATGTTGCTCCTTTCTATGTGGCAGACAAATCAGTCTTGATGTGTCATTTGTGAATCTCCTGATGCTGCCGCCCGCCTCTGTCGTAGTGTCTGCCTTCACTGACAGAGGCCGCTTTCCCTCAAAGCCTTTGTGGCATGACCCTTCAGGTGGGCATTGCTTTTCTTTCCTCTTTCTTCTTTTCTCCCTCTATTCCCTCTGCATTTTTTTCCTCCTTTCCTGCCCGTCACTCCTTTCTCTCTGTCTGAAGAGAACTGGAATAAAGAATATTTTCCTGATGCTTCTAAATTCTAGAAGGCAGGTTGCCAGATAATCTCAGATGGTGTTATAAATCTGCTAAGGAAAAACTCTGTCTATAGTTAACAACCTTTATATTTTGCTCTAATAATTATATTTGATATTTAGAAAAAATATCATTTTATTGATGGAAGATATAATTTAAGTTTCCATGAGGCCTGGATCTAAAAAGAAATCATCAAGTGGAATTACGATTTTTAAATTCAAATGCCATTCATGATTTGCAGTATAGTGTAATTTGCTCTTCTGTTGCCTTATTCCAAAGGATCAATTTTATAAACACATCAGTGTAAAGATAAATTAATTTCTGTAATTCGAGAGGTTTTGTATGGTGTTACGCATACATTTATAAATCTCATTTTATCAGGTTTCATTTGTTGGCATTGTGACATATTCTGAAATCCAATTACAGAGAAACTTCAACTTTCAAAAGGATTTATTAAATATCTGTTATGTATGTGCTGTTCTACCAGATGCTGCAAAGATGTAAAGGAAGCAGAAAACACAGTGCAGTGTCTGTTCATATGTAGAATTATGAAAGCAAGAAGCTACAATATAAGTAGTAGCTTAAGGGCAGATGCAACATATAAGTAGATACATATCAGTGTGGTTGAGAGTGTGTTCATTAGCAATGAAATACAAGGGAAGAGAAAGATCAGTGAGAGATGGAATTTTAATTAGAGGAGAGTCCTCGTAGCTAATGTTGAGCCAGATCTAATTATTACCCCAGTAGTTTTATAGTTAGGTAAATATGCTGATACTAATTTACAGTTTATCTCCTTTCCTATACTCTGATTAATAGGAACAAACTTGGCACAATAGCTTAAGAAATTCTTTAATTTTGGGAGGAATATTTTGTGACAGAGCATTTATTTTCACCAATTATATGTGTTTTAAGAATATAGCAACTGATTTTGTGATTTATTGTTGAACTAAATTTATTTTCAAACTGGTAATAAACTTCAGAATGACCCCATTTTATGTGATATTTCTGATGATAATTGCCCTAAGCCAAATTCTGCAGATCACAGATCATTTTTGTAGAGTATACCTATGTTTAAGATGTTTATCATCTCTTATGACTTACTATTAGTAAATATTATTAAGAAAGTATTTTATGATCTCTGCATGAATGAAATTGTTCTTTCAATTTTGATGCTATTCATACCACATCATTAATAAAGAAAAGACATTTTTAAAGAAATGTTTAATTTTTGTTACATATTTTAATAGGTTCGAATTGAACAAGTGATACTTGCTGAACCTGGAGCAGTTTTATTATATAAAATTTCTAATCTCCTAAAATTTTATCATCATACAATCAGGTAAGTGGAATAATGAAATGTGCTTGTTAAATCCCTTGGGATATTTCTTATCAGTTAGAGGACAGTATAAGATATTTTGTTTTCATTGGGTGCTTAAGTGTAACTGGTAGAACCTCCACATGGTCTGATTCCTTATGTGCCTGTTATACCTGCATATTTACCTTGATGTCATTTCGCTTTCTTTCTTTCTTCTTTAAGCATAACCACACATATACAAACACACACAACTTGTATGACAATATAGATCTTCAAAGTATTTGAGTTTTCCTATATTAGTAAATAAGGTCCATGACAACTGAAGCAACTTTATAGGACGTAATGAGTGACATATCCTATTCTGGATGTAAATAACCTAAATTGTTCTTTAGCATTTGGTTTCCTATCAGTGATAAAATAGAGTGATAGTTTTATCTTCTCTACATAAAAGCAACTTTGTCTTATTCTAAAATTTGCACTCATTTTTGCTTTGCATGTCTTTTGGTAGTACACACTTGAGCAGTATTATAAATGTCACTGGAAATCTGCACTGTATGTGGAATTGTTAAAACAATGTCCTTCTAAGCTATATTTTTTATAATCTCTATATATTTCCATTAAAAATTATTTAAAATCCAGTATGCCTGTATCAGGATCAGAATTCCAACTGTTAAAACCCAAGAGGGTTATAACTGTCTGATCCAGAGAGGTTCAGGGATCACTAATTCACAGAACACCACAAAAACTACAGTGATGACTATCTACCTGTTAGAGACTGAGAGTAGCCACTCAAATGTCAATCTAAAAAAAGGACTTCACATCCCATTGGTAGATTTTCAAATAAAACTAAGCCACAGGCTATAGCACTAGATTTGGGTTAATATAACATTTTAGATACAAACTTATAATTAATATTCCTCATACTTTAACAATAAATTAGCTCCAGTTGTAATGAGTTAGACTTCTTAAAATGAGTATGATAAATACTTAGAAAACATAGGAGCAACTAAAAGCAAATAGACATAGTAAGTGGTATGTTATAAAAAAGTTATAAAGTAATTTAAAAAAATTGTTTGGTAATACCCATGATTGGTGCTTCATAAAAACCTATTTGAAGGTAATGACAACTTATTTTCTAATGTAGAAAATGCTATAAATAAAATCAGTTGGATTTTAAATATAATAATAGGTTTTTTAGGCTCTGAGAATTATAATTGTTCTATATTTGATCATGGTATGGAGGATAACAATCAAAATCTTTTGATATAGTGTTTTTGCATGTTCCTTTTCTACTTGGTGACACATTCCCTCATTTAGTCAGTTAAAAAGTTGACTGTAAACTTGTTGGTTTTCTAGTTGCTAAGGAAATAGCAACGAACAAAACAATTCCTAATCTTATATTCTAACAAGGGAAATGTATGATTTTAGATAGTGATAAGAGCCCTGAAGAGAAATATAGCAGGAGAAAGGAAATAGAAATTATAGGAAGTGACCGTGTATGAGTAGGTGCGTGTTTGTGACAATTTCTGAAGCTCTTTCAGTGGAGGTGACGGTTGAGAGTCCTGAAAAATGTGGAGAAGTTGGGCATGGAAAGATCTTGGAGAGGGATCTCCTATGCAGAAGTACATTGTTTCTGAAGCTAGGAAAAGGTTGCACTATGGAGACTCAGAACGGAGACCAGTGGTTGGACTCTATAATGAATTGGAAGGAGTAGGGGAGTCAGAAAGGTAGAGAGAGGCAGGTCATATGGGACTTGTAGACCAGGCTGAAGATCTAGATTTGACTTTGAGTCGTTGAGAAAGATTTGAGAGGATTTTGTGTGACCAGAGCTGAGTAATGAGTAGAGTTATTCTGGAAACTATGTGGATAATATAATGTAGTGGCATTAAGGGGAAGCAAGGCAGGTATTTAGGAAGCATAGACAATGGGTTAGACAAGAGTGATAGTCTTCAAGGTGGTGATTCTGGAGTCATTTTATGTTATAGCCAGTAGGACATAAATTGTTCAGGTAATGTGAGATGGGAGTAGTCAAGGATGAGTTCTTGGCATTTGGTTTGAATAAAAAGGTGGATGATATTGTTGCTTGTTGTGATGGGAACTGTTGGAGAGGAATAGGCTGATGGGGTGGTGGTGGTAAAGAGTCCAGTTCCGTTTGGGCCAAGTCAGATATGATATACCTGTGAACGTAGAGTAGAACTTGAGTGAGTGACATAACAGAAATGAGGGCCCAAACTATAAATTTGGTAGTCTTCAGCGTATAGGTAATATCTGAAACAATAGAACTAGGTAAGATTACTTAAGGAGTGAAAGAGTGAGGAATAAGGCCTAGAACTGAGTCTTCAGGCATGCCAGTGTGTAGACGTCAGGAAGAGGAGAAACTCATGAAGAAAAGTGTAGAGGAATTGCCAGTGAACTTAGGGGAAAAGCAGGAAACATGCACAGTCTAACCAGTGTACTTCCTGGATGTGGAATCCAAGAAACAAGGAATCTAGCACACTTAGATTCTGTATCCTTTCCTAGAACATTTCGCCCTAAGTCAGTAACTGCTCTGTTTTTGTATTTGTTTACTTTCCTTTGCCCTTATCACTGTTTTAGATCCAGTCTATTAAATGGGCTGTACACTTCCAAGAGATATAGCCTAACACATTAAGCAATCCCCTTGCCCTCGTTCCTCCTGACCTTCCTCTTGGAGCACTCTTGTCTTCCAGTCCAGGTGGTTACTCTCCAGGCCTACTGCATGGCTGTCAGGTGGGGTCCATCTTCTTCATCAGCCTGCTTCTTCACCATGTTGGCTGGCCCCAATTCCTTGTTCAGCTCTGAATAGTATTAATGTGCTTATAAAGGTGTAAGCATTAAATATTTATCAGAACCCTATAATCATAAGTGTATTAGGAAAGCTGGGGAAGGTCATGTTTGGATATGTGGTAGGAAAGAACTGTATGAAAGAGTTTTAACTCTCGTCTTCTATATCAGTATATAATACCTAGAACTAAAACAGCAATACGCAAATAAGCATGTTGGGTGGAAATATGAAGTGAAATATCAGAAGAAATGTCTGTAAGTATCTGGACCAGTTACTGAACACTAGTGAGTACTCAGTAACCGGTAAATTCCAGTCCTGAGTAACTGTAAATTACAACCAGTAACTCCAAAATACTGTAAATATATCTTGATATTTCTTCATTTTTTTCATCAAAGTATCAGTTTCTTTTTGCAATCATTTAATTTACATCCACTATTGCTTAATATATACATTTATTTTGAGGAAGTCATTTTGATTGTTTGCATAGGCATTTGTGGGAATTCTTTATAATCTATTTTAGTGTTTCACTTATAATATTTTTAATTGAAATATTTATTTCTTTTAAAAATACAGGTATTGTGACAGATACCTGTTTAGTAATTCGATTGTATTTTACTGTTTGCTTTAAACATTTTTTAACTGCTAATTTGCTTTCTTTGTATGAACTGTGTAAGAATCTATCCAATTTATTTCAGTTGTAGAATGTATTGAGATATATAGTATAAATATTTGCTTTTGTAGTAACTCACATGTAATATATAATTTATCAATAAATTTGCTGTATTTTTAACTTACTATTTATCATTATTTATAGATGTCATCATATTTATCTTGAGCAATCTGGTTTAGGCATTATATGATTTTATTGTGCCTTTACAAATTATAACTTGCTACCAAATTATAGTATATTTTCACATCAACAAAAAATTTCCCTAAAAACAATTTAAAATTGTTTTTACTATATAAATTAGGAAAATAAAATTGGTATTTGTTTTATATGGATATTTATCTTAGATTCTGGCAAAAATGGAAAACCATTTGGATGGATGTAAGAAATATTTTATAGTAGTAAATTAAAAATTATGGAATGTACTAATGTAATTGAATATTCCAAAATATCAGATTTTTCATAATTAGTCTAAGGGTCCTACTTTTTAAGCAGCCATATTAAAATTGAGAAGCTATAATTTTAGTTGTTATTGATATAGCAGTTGGTAATCAAAAGAACTCAGTATTTATACAATTTAATTATTTTATTAGTAGAGCTGTTGATGGAATGCCTTTCTTAGAATTAAAAATAGGCCTTGGATAATCAAGACTCATTTACTCTAATAGAGGAAAAATAGAGGTACAGTTTACACATTGCAGAGGTAGGTTCTAACCTACAGTTGTGCTAAAAGAGATTGTGAAATACTAAAAATAGTGTAGGTTGAGGATCCCTTATCCAGACTGTTTAAGGCCAGAAGAATTTTAAACTTAAAAGTTTTCAGATTTTGAAATATTTACATAGACTTTATCAGTTGAGCATCCCTAATCTGAATATCCTAAATCCAGAGTGCTCTGAATCAACTTTTGAATATAAGATGACACTCAAAAGTTACAGATTTTGGAGCATTTTGGATTTTGGATTTTCAAAATAAATATGCTCAACATATAGTTTGTTTTCAGTTTTCCTTTTTCATCATTAACTAAAAAAACCCATAATTTTATATGAAGCTGGAATAATTTTTTTGATTCATAAATTGTATTCTAAATAAAAACTTTCATTTTAATATAGGTCTTTTTAAAGCATTATACTAAAAAAACTGAATTGTTTTAGTTTCTGTTTTGCAATCTGAAATATTGTTTGCTTTTAGTGGCATTGTTGGAAATAGTGCAACTACTTTATTGACTACCATTGAAGAAATGCATTTGCTAAGCAAAAAAATATTCTTCAATAGTTTGAGTCTTCATGCAAGTAAATTAATGGACAAGGTATGTTTGAAAAATACAGTTCTTAAACTATGTGACTGTGAATTTTTCGCATTTAGAGATGTTTTAATGTCTTTACATTGGTTAATGATCCCCCCCCATCTTATTCAATATTCTTTTGAGTTCTTACTTTGAGAACAAATTCATATTGAGTGGCTTACTGGATCCAAGTTTATAATCTGTCTTCCTGGAATAGTATAACATTGAGTCATAAGTGGAGATAGAATGTCAAGCCCTAGTTTCACTACCATTTTTTCCATAACCAAAAATGTGTAACTAAAGCAAACTTACTATATTTAGGTAGGAGCCAACACACCACACAGATTAGAAAACTGGAACTCTTAAAAAACTTTTTTTCAAACAGCTTACATTTTTACCCTCTGATGTTATAACATTGTTCATAAGAACTTTGTCCTCCTTTGGTTTTTATACTATAATTATTTATAAAAACAAATAAATTAGAAAAAATACCCCACAAAGGATAAATCAATGACAAAAACCTGGAAGAATCCTATAAGATGTAATATTTTAATTTGAGCAGGGTATTGTGGCAGGGCCTGTGGAATGGGTTCATAATGGTTAAATTTTTCTTTATTTTTGTTTTATTATTAGTTTTTTTCAGAGATGTGTCCCAATCACCATGCTGTTTTTTTTAATTTGTTGAGGACCTTTATTTTTATTTATTTATATTTGGTGCTGATAATCAAACCCAGTGCCTCTCACATGCTAGGCAAGCACTCTACCACCGAGCCACAACTCCAGCCCAATGCTGGCTTTTTGATTGTATAACTGTATCCAATAGTCCAATCATATTATTTTTGATTGTATAACTTCATCCAGTGGTCTGGTCGTATTAGGCATAGGTTTTATCCTGAAGAATAGTATTAGATAGTGTCAAATAGTTAGTAGCAGAGAACGTGGTCCATCTTTGTTTTTTTAAGCTCAGTGAAGCCTTAATAGGAGTCTACTTCATGGTAACTGTGCATGACACAGTTCTTTTGGAAAGCAGCGATAATATATGGAACTGAAGTATCTATCTTATATTTTTTTTCTTTGTGTATGTGTTTGCACCAGACATTTATTAACAGTCAATTCTGGTTCTGTTTGTTTATATGAGTTCTTATGTAAATTAATTTTTCTGAAATAATTCATACATGATACAAACATTGAACATGAAGAGACAAACACTAGCTAATAAGAGTGCAGTGGCCTCTGTTGGCCTTAGGTCGTGTCTCCTTTATGGGAGAATGATCAGTGGAATCAGTGATTGCTATACTCATCACATTTTATGAAACTCCTGTGCTTAGGGTGCTGTGTTAGCACAAAAGAAGGAGTGTGTGGCAATCCATGCATGCTTCTTTTCCGGGAGAGAGGTGCTAAAGGGAACTTTGAAGGACATATAGGATTTTGATGTTGAAGAAGGAGGTAAATAGAGGGTCTTCTAAGTAGAAGAAATAAATAGAATATGCCAGAACACAAGCTACAAGTCACCAATAAACACATTTTTTTTTATTTGTTAAGAAAATCACTTGGAAATTGGTGTGTTGTGTGAGTAGGAGGGAGGCCAGATGGGAGACAGGCATTGAAGGGAGTACTGAAGCCATTTGTGGAAATACATGACCTAAGAGGGATTCGGAAATACCCATGATGGACAGATACTTGAGGGGTGAAGGTAAAATCTTCAAAACTTGATGACTGATTGAATATGGATAAGAGAGAGGAATGGGTCTGGAATAATTTCTCTGTTGATCGTAAATCTTTGGAATACAGAAAAGGGGTAAAATTTGGGAGATAAAAAAAAAAATTGGGAGATAAAGTAGAAAAGTTGAATTTGAGGGACCTACCTGTGGAATATCTCTCTGGAATTGGAACTCTGCATTTGGATTTAGAGTTTTGCATGAAAGATGTATTTGAACCCTTAGGTTTAAATGAAGTTACTAGGGATAATTTTTTGTAAGAATAAAGCTACCAGGAATCACAGTTGGGGGAACACTGACATTTAAGAGAGGAAAAAAGTTACCACTATGATGCTGAGAGAGAATAACCAGTGGAAGGAGGAAGATGAGAGTGTTTTATCAGAAGGCCAAGATCGTGGAGCTTCCAGGAGGTAGGCTGGTAGATGACAGGTGCTGCATGAGGAGTTCTAGTCAAGACAAGGCAGCAGGCTTGCTCTCTGGCACTGTGTAGATGACCAGTGGCCTTGCTGAACAAGATTAGTCTTGTGGTAGGGACAGCAGCCAAATTTCAGTAAGTGGAAAAGCACAGGGATAAGTATATTACTCAAAGCTGCATGAGGGACTCAATGACTGAAAATAAAAATGTATTTGTCTTTCATATTTAGATATTCAAAAGACAATAATAATAACACTGTGATAATTAGGAAGGATGAAATCAAATTTCTCTGACAAATTGGAAAAGAGAAAAGCAGAACTATTTAAAAGACCAACAAAATTGATGACCTTCTAGCAAATCTCATTAAGGAAAAACAAATAAAATTTAAAGATTATAACTTTAGAAATCAGAAAATTTGCAGAAGTGGATTAAAACTTTGTAGAGAATACCATATGCAATTTTATGCTGAAATAATCTGGAAAACTGCGTAAGAAGAAAAATTTTAAGATGATATAAATTGATTTTAAAATAGTTAAAAGATAAGAGGAAACAGGGAGACTAGCTTCTCATCTTGTGCTGCAGCCAGGGCCTCTCTCCAAATGATAAACTGGGTAGATGTAAGCCTGCCTTACTGTTACCTCCTCACAGGATCACTGTCCTTCAATTCCTGCTGTCCAGTGTCCAAATAGTTTTTAGAAGTGTATTACTTGTTTGGTATATGAGGACCGTTGCACACGTAAAGGAATTAAAGTTCTGTCTCCATCAGAAAAAAAAAAATGAAATAAAAAAGGATGGCAAATGTAAATACACCTTGGGAGGGAGGAAAGGCAACTAAAGAATATTCTGCACGGCTGATCTCAGATTGCCAAGATGTTTCATTCATATCTGTGAGGAGTGGACAGTTTTATACAACACAGAGAAATAGGAGGAGCATTCCAGTTCTTTGACAGTATAATACTGACATTAAAACCTGTTAAAGGTAGTGCAGTAGTGATGACCACAAGTCAGTCACTTTTTCACTTTCCAAAAAATGTGTCATTAGGTCAGACCCATCATTATATTAAGACCAGGTGTGATTTATTCCATAAATAGATAAAACCAGGTGTGATTTATTCTACAAATATAAGAATATATCAGAGTTAGAAAATAAATGTTTTAGGTGATCAAGGATACTATTATATACATGTTTATGTGTGTGTATATATGTATACATATATGTTAAGTGTTTACACATTAAAATATGGTGATTAAAAATAGACATTAAATATGTAAAATATGTTAAATTTTATATTGTCATGATGTTTAATCAAATTGGGGAGAAAAACCTTAGTACATAAGTAATGGAAGAATACTTCTTTAATAATATGAAGATAAATAGAACTAATAGCCTACATAATTAACATAGAAGTTCTAGAGGCATATTCCTATCTAAATGAAGATCAAGAATGCTTGCCAAGACTTTTGGATAATAGCCAAGGTAGACAGACCAGATAAAGGGCTGGGGGTGTGGCTCAATGGTAGAGTGCTTACCTAGCGCTTAGCCTGGGCCAGACCCAGAGTTCAATTCCCAGTACTTCAGAAAGGCAGGGGTGGGGAAAGAGATCTAAATATTTCAAATGAGGAGACATTAGATTATTGATGAATGTTATGATTGTCCACTGTAAAAACACAAGAGAATCAGCTGGAAAGCTATAGACCCAGAAAACAAATTTTCCTAAATCCTAGATCACAAGGAACTCAGTACTACTTACCTGAATGACTGGGTTCCCTTTTTGAAAGCCCATGTTCCGTCATTATCTTACTTTCTCTTTTACCTTTGTCACTTTACCGTGTTCACTTTGCAAAACCATCATGGATTAATTTTTGTATGTGTTGTCACCACTAAGCATTGCTTTAAGAAATTATGAAATTATATATACTGAAGATCGAAAATTCACTAAGATGAGCAAAGTCCTCTGTGATGTCCAGCAAATGCTGTGTGATTGTAGGCAGCCACTCCTCTTTACCTTACTTTCGACCATCTGGACAAGTCTACATATAGCCTCCTGTCAAATGTACCAAGCCTTGCCAAGACTGAACAGTGGGTATTTTAAAAGATCTTTGCCAATATGGTGAGCAAAAAGTGACATCTCATAGTTTTTCTCACTTGAATTTCTGTGATTCTGTAAAGAATGAACATTTTATTTATCTTTTTTGCCTGTGTGTGAGTTGTTGAGTCCTTTGCCATTTTCCTACTGGATTATGTCTTATTCTTAATTTCTGATATTCTTTATACCTTAAGAATATTAACATTTATGTTATAAACATTTTCTATAAATTATCATTTTCCTTTTAAATTTGCCTATAGTCTTTTCTGATCAACTTTTAATTTTTCCATGGCAAAATCTTTTAAGTTTTTTTCTCCTTATAGTTTTTCCCTTGAAAACATGCCATGTTTGAAAAGTTCTCCACAGGAAATACATTTAGAATTTAGTTTGTGATGAAGTTAGCTTTCATTGGTAAGAAAATTATAGGTTGTTTAACTAATTTGTTTAGGTGTATGTTCTTAGATGTTTCTAAGGTTTCACTCAATATTTTTGATGTTCCTGAAGTTTGTTTTTGTCTATACTAGGAACTTTGTTTACCTTTCCAAAGTGGGTGCCAGTTTGTTTATCTCCCTATCAAATGTTAAATTTCTCTATATTTTATTACTCATAGAAGTTAAAATGAAAGTTGCAAGAAAATAGGAAGATAAAATGGATAACAAAAGGCAGCTTTTAAGGATGGCCTCTTGCAATGAAAACCTTGAACAGTGTAAAAATGTGAAGAAAGCAGTTGTAATTTGAATCTATTAATTACCAGTCACCAATTGCAGCAAATGTGAATATACAGCAATGAATGGGTTCTAATGA